TAAGTCTCAATCTAAATTATTTCCTAAGTACTTATCAGATATATTAATTGAACCTAAACGCCCCGGTTTACGATCGTCTTCTTCTTCTCGCTTTTTCTTAACTCGTGTTAAACATTCTTTTGCCAAATCTGCTTTTGCTTTTTCTGGTCCTTTTCTCTGGAACTCTCTGCCTACTTCTCTAACTATTTCTCCATCGCTTGCAAAGTTCAGAGCGGATCTCAAGACCCATCTGTTTTCAAAATTCATTGAGGAGCGCTGTTGAACATCGCGGAAATAGCGCTTTATAAGCTAATTGATTGATTGATTGATTGATTGGTGAAGCAAACCTGTAGGCCTCCCTTGTTTTCTGTCGTCGTGTGTCAAACAAAACGAGTTGGTGCTTCAGTCCAATGACTTCATCTGACGCAAATTCAACCCGGGACAACTCTTCAATCAGTCTCTCGTTTATTTCTTCGCTCATTTTTTGTTCTTTTCTACTGCTTCTTGTTCCGGTCCTGCTCTTCTTGACTTGAAATTTTTCTGATCAAAAGTCTAGGATTCGTTTTTTATTTCTATAGTATACGAGGGTCAAGACAAGGATATTTTTATGTAGAGCAAAAATGAGAAACTATGGTACGGACTGTGCTATGAACAAATAATAATTATTACTTTTGTTTTAAAAACTAAAAAATATTTAAAATTTTTAAATTAAAACTTTTATTAAAACAATGTCTTTGTTTAAATTTTTAAAAACCCCATTTTTAAAGCTTTATAGTAATTTTAATAATTTACTTTTTGGCTTTCCGTCCAGCACGGTCAGCTGTGATCGAATCAAAACATTTAACTCGTTTGAACTGTTGTTAAAGTTGCCGATTTTCTGATTTAATATTAAATAATTAATCTAACAATAATGTTGTCGCGTACGTATTTTTAAATATTGCTAATTAATGAAATTGTTAAGGGACGCCTCGTTTGGTGCCGTTACATTTTGTGCCTCCCGTCATAAGAACGAGGAATGTGGCATCAATGGCCTCCCCCTCACTCCGAACTCCATCAGAATTCTCGGCCGCTTTCAGTACCTGACGACACTCAACCATAAAAATTTATCCTCCTACCTAGATTTAATCAGAGGCAAGCATGGTTAGCTCTTAAAATTTTTCTAATTTTTTATCATTGTTGAAATTGAAATAAAGTCAAAAAAATGAGATGAGTTACTACTTTTTATTTATAAGTGCACAATCAATCAATCAATTAATATATTTGTGTATGAATAAAAGGTGATGGTTGATTGATTAAGTAATCATAGAATGGCTGATTGAATTATCAATTTATTTATTCATAATTTCAATTATTTTTATTCGGCTTTGTGATGCATTATAGATTATTTGCAATTTGTTAGTAAGTTAGTAATTAATTATTTGAGGCAATCAAATCGAATGTGTTGAATATTTTATATCCTTTTTTAATTATTATTTGAATATTTTTTTTGTCTAATTTTAACTTAACATCATTTTACAAAATGTCTTAATTATAATTAAGTCATCTGTATGGGAAAACTAAAAAACTCTTCATAAATTTATTTGTTCAATTAAGCATAAAATAAATTTAATTTTTTATGTTTCAGAGCGAGTCTTCATAGTATCCGAGTACTATGAAAGAAATTTAGAAGATGTCTTGAAGTCTAATCCATCCGTGTTAGTAAAAAAAATTTATTCTGCATTAACTTACGATTGCAAAAGGGTATTGCATATGTGTAATATATAACATTATTTATTACATATGCAATATTTTTTTCTAATAACCTTGCAATGTCATCTATGGCTAATGAGTATTTAAATACTTGATGGGACCACTTAACCTGGATAAGAGAGAAAGTTGGGCCTCCGCTATAAAGATAGCAAAAAGGGTACCAAATTTTTGGGGGCTCAAGGGAGTGCTATCATCTGTCTAGGGCTGTTAATGGCAGACCCATGGTGTGTTGGTAATTCTTAGATAGACAAGGAAATGCTCATGACAGCAATGATTAAATATATGATACATGATACAATCATATTTTCTTGATATGATATGATCTTTTGTTCTTTTTGGTTAATATATATTGTGTATAATTTTATTGAAAAAAAATCACGTGTTATTCTTTACTGCACTTTTTTTAAAAATTTGTAATGAAAATTTCAGAAAAGAAATCATTAAATACACCAAAGACATTTTATGTGGCCTGTCATACCTGAATGATCATGATATCATTCATTCATTTCTTTCTCTGTCCTGTCTTCTAGTCAGCAAAGAGGTTTGGGCGGATGGATGAACTGATGGATGGATAATTGAATAGATTGATTGACGGATGGATTAGTGGATGAATGGATGGAATGTGTAGAAAGATGAATGAATAAAAAAAATTCTGAATAATTTTGCCCCCAGAATAGAATAATCATTTGCAATTATGGTCTTCACCACATAACCGAGTCTGGTTCTTCTGTTTCATTTCCGATTGGGTCAGAAAATATTAATATTCATAATAATAATAATGGATAATTATAAAAATAATTAATATTCAAATTCAGTATAATTTATTAAAATAGTAATGCTGATAGCCAGAGAAATTGACACCTATAATGATGAATTTGATGACAGCGAATCTTTTTTATTAGCAATAATTTAGTTGGTTGCTGGTGATAATAATAATAATATTATTATTATTATTATCATTACTATTAATAATAATAATAATGATTTGGATGAATTGAATTAAGATGACAAAATAACATTACGTGATATAACATAACGCAGTATAACCCAATAACAATAAAATAACATTGTATTGACATTATTGTAGAATAAAAAAGCAATTTTTTTTATTATTAATATTTTTCATTTTTTAATTATAAAAATATTTTTCAACTATCATCGTAACGTTAGCTATCCCAAATATTCTGCACCAGAGGTATTATTGAGACAACTGAGACACACTCAAAAATCATCCCTACATCAACAGCAACAACAACAGCAACAGTTGATGTCAGAGAAAGAAGAAACTTCTTCAAGCAATGCTAATAATCGGAACTGGGTGGAAGATGGTTGCAAAAGAGATGTGTGGTCGTTAGGCATTATCATTTTCGAGTTGTTATTGGTTAGTTGGTTAGGGCAATTCTGTAACATTTTAAATTGTTTTACAACACATATGCATTTGTGTCTGTTACATACTTTGTAAACTTTTTTGTTCACAAATTAGTTGATCAATTAATAATTACTTATTTTTAGTGCTTCAATGATTAATATTTAATTTCGTGATAATTTAGAAGAAGAAACTTTGGAGCAAGTTATCACTTAAGGAGGTCTTAAGAAATGTTTTTCGATTCCTTGTTGATAGAGGTGTGTCAGCATGAGGAAGATGATGATAGTGATGGTGATGATGAAGATGATTAGGGTGATGGTGATGATGCAGATGACGATGATGTCTGTGAAGATGGCGATGATATCCGTGAAGATGAAGATAATATAGAAATAATGATGATGATACTAAGATGATGATGACGATAACGATGATGACGGGGATGATGCATAGTGATGAGGATGGTGATATATTTTTTTATTCAGATAAGCAGCATCCATTGGACATTATACTGAGTGAGATGACAGTGGAGAGTTCACAGATTTTTCCGGTAACTATGAGTGAATGAGTGACGATGATAGTTATGATGGTGATAGTGAAATAATGATTACAACGAGAATAATGTCGACGATGATGATGCTCATCCTATTTTTAATGGTTGTATCAATTATAACAGCGCTGATGATGGCGAGAAGGATATGATGATGATGATGATGGTGATGACAATATTATTGATGATGGTTGTGGTGTGATGGTGATGATGATAATGACTGTCTCAAAACCAGGGCTGCCCTCAACTTGTTTGGGATTTTATTCGTTCTTGTCTCAATCTTAGACCGTCTGAAAGGTGTGCTATGGCTGCTGTTGTTGCTACTGTTGTTGTTGCTGTGTTGTCGTTGTTGTTGCTAATTTTGTTTTATTTAGTGTCTTTTAGATTTTCGTCATCATTATTAAGTCATCATCATCGTACTAATTTTAATAATCAAGATCACGGTCATCATCAGCCATTGTTTCACAAGTGTCACTATTATAATGAGTTATAAACAGTAAAACCGTTATCATTTTTAACTTTATTGCAGTCATCACTACATCACTGTCACATCATCATCATCATAATTATCAGATCATCATCATCCAACCACAGACCAACTCCTAAACAACTTCTCAAGCATAAACTATTTACGAAGACGTCATTAAAATCAAAACTCACCCACAACGGTTACGGTGATGACGTTGGTACTGGTGAGGATGACGTCACCGAAAACGGCGACGACGATGATGATGGCGATGATGGTGATAATGACGATGATCTTGATTATATGTTTACTACGAAACTTAGATGCAAGCACGTTAAGCCGTATAATGAACCTTCGAATGGTAGAACAGGTATTGTGTTTTTGTCGTCATCACTTGTTATCACTTCATCATCAAATAGATTATCATCAGCACTGTCGCCACACCATCATCATCGTCACCACTATCGCCACATCATCATCATCATCACCACTGTCGCCACATTATCATCATCATCACCACTGTCGCCACATCATCGTCATCATCACCACTGTCGCCACATCATCGTCATCATCGTCACCACTGTCGCCACATCATCTTCATCATCACCACTGTCGCCACATCATCATCATCATCGTCACCACTGTCGTCACATCATCATCATCGTCACCACTGTCGCCACATCATCATCGTCACCACTGTCGCCACATCATCATCATCATCGTCACCACTGTCGCCACACCATCTTCATCATCACCACTGTCGCCACATCATCATCGTCACCACTGTCGCCACATCATCATCATCATCATCACCACTGTCGCCACATTATCATCATCATCACCACTGTCGCCACATCATCGTCATCATCATCATCAGACAATGACCTACTCTCCGAGTGTGACATGCATCAGGTGTACAACATCTGGAAACTTGCTGGCGGCGACGTTGAGGCTCTTTTCAAGAAAAGTGGTCGGATCAGTAGGAAGGCTCCCATCATCAATCTTCCATGGTTAGTTGACTGGTCGGCTGGTTGATCAGTCGGCTGGATAGGTCAGTTGGCTAGGTTGGCTGGTTAGGTCGGCTGGCTAGGTTGGCTGGCTAGGTCGGCTGGCTAGGTCGGCTGGCGTGGTTGGCTGGCTGTAGAATGAAAGGCTTCGTGAACAGTGATAAGGTTGTTGACGTTCATGTCCGACAATGAGGATAACGATCGTGTTGGTCATAGTAATGATGTTAGTGATGACGATGATGATGATGGTGATGGTGACCACTGTATAGCCTAATAATGGAAGAGGGCGAGTCGCTGGGCAGTCCGTTTGATTCGTCGACCCTTTTCGATGACCACTTCCTACTTCTGCCACTCGATCACGCTCGAGAGGCTGGTTCATTTTGTTGTTTGGTGATGATTATGATGATGGTGATGATAGTTATATCGATGATGATGATGATGATAACGATGTTACGAGACGATGATTACGATAGATGATGTTACGAGGAAGACGATGAAAATATTTTGTATGAAATGTAATGTTAGTTATTAAAAAATTATAATTATGGAGATTCTTCTTCTTTTTCTTATTATTATTATTATTATTATTATTATTATTATTATTCACATTGTCACCTGCATTTATAACACCAGAGATTGAGTGGCATGGACGTGAGAGCCTTCTACCCAACGTTCGAATTTGACAGGTCGATCGCTGACTCATTCATATTACTCATTCATTTATTCATTCGTTTATTTGTTTTTATCATTTTAATTATTATTATTATTATTACTATTAATGTTATTATTATTATTGTTGTTGTTCTAATTAGAATATTTTATGTTAATTATGGTGTACAATTTTATGGCTTCCAGTTGGACATTCAGCTTCAACCTTGACATTCATTTACCACTTTCAACCTTTAAATTTACTTTCGATCTTGACATTAACCTTTCAATTTGACCCCTGCTACTGAAGGGACGCGACCAGTTCGTTAGTGACGTCCACCAGCGGCTGCGACCTGAAGGAGATCGTCAAACTGCCACTAGTCATCAGGGAGAATGATGTCGAGTATCAGGTGAGTGAGTGAGTAGTAAAAGGGAGAGATTGGATGTGAGGGAGAGAGAGAGAGAGAGAGAGAGAGAAAGAGAGAGAGAATAGGTAGTGAGGGTTTGCACTATTATTTTCTTTATTGGCGCTATTTTTGCAGACGCTTTGCTTTTATTTTTTTGCCTCCGGTGAGGTTTATGATAAAGATGTAAACTTGAATAATAAAAGTAATGGTGATGGCCAAAAGCAATAGGTGACGATGACTGTGATGATGGTGGTGATTGCGATGATGATTGCGATGATGATGATGATGACAGTTCCACAGAATTATAAAATTCAAACGTCTGCTGGAGGGCTATCCGTACCAAAGACAGCGAATATTTAAGGAGTGTCGGGTGGACATTCCTCCACTCTACAGGAACTTCTTGTGGGCGGCCATCTTGAAAATTGAGGTGCTGACGGTTATGATGACGACTAAGTGATTAAACGATAATGATTAAATAATGATAATTATTATTGGTACAGTGATTATGTTGTGATATTCAATTATATTTATAAATAATTAAGTGATGATTCGATCGATGTCGAAAAGTCGATTCGGTTTCGGTTATTTTTAGGAGAAAGAATTCGATTTGGTTTTTTTTCTCTTCAGATGAAGTCAACTCATTAATTTGCATCTTACATGACGTTTTGCTGACACAATCTTAAAATTGAAATGAGTTTGCGAACGAAATATAACGTAACTTTTTCTTGGGCAAACGCGCGTTATATCACAGAAAAAAAACTGATTGTTTTACTCTGTGTAGCCTAAATATTGTTAAAAAATCGCAATAGAATTGAAACCGAATCGAAATCGAGTCGAACTTTTATAGAATTGTACCATCACTGATATTAACGATGTCATCAATGTTGCTCTTATTGTAAGTAATAGTAGTAAACTTATTTGTAGTAGTAGCAGCAGTGGTGTGGTAGTAGTAATAGTAGTGTTACTATCATCATCATCATCAATATGGCAGGGCGATGTAAGAGGAAGATATGAGGCCATTGATAAGGAAACTCCAACCCCTACCGACAGACAGGTGTTGAAGATGATGATAATGATGAAGAAGATGATGATGACGATGCTGTTGTTGCTAATGATGCTGATTATGATGAAATTTCTGGTGATGATGATAACGATAGTGATGTCAGTTAAGATAGATGATAACGAGGGTGATGAAAATGATGATTTCATTCAGATAGAAGTGGACATACCTAGATGCCACCAATACAACCCACTGCTATCATCTCCTACAGGTCATCTAAAGTTCAAAAGGTCATCATCACAATCATCATCAGCAGCATCACAATATGCATTATTTCAATCACCATCGTCGTCATCATCACTATCGTCATCATCACCATCCTCATCAGATTATTGAAGGCGTGGGTGGCTAGCCATCCAGAGCTGGTGTACTGGCAGGGCTTGGACTCTCTGTGTGCTCCTTTCCTCTATCTTAACTTCAATGATGAAGGTGATGATGAGGATGATGATGACGGAGGTGATGTTGATGATTGTAGTGACAATTATGATGATGAAACTAATTACGATAATATGATGATCGTGATGGTGATGGAAATAGCGAGGGTGAAGTTGATGGCTGATGAAGCTAATGATGACGTCATCATCATCGCTAATGACGTCATCATCATCTACGCCATCTTAACATACTGTACAGCTTTAGCCTTTGCTTGTCTCTCGTCATTCATTCCGAAGTATCTTCATGGGTTCTTCTTGAAGGATAATGCACACATCATTCAAGGTTTTCATTCATTCATTCGCTCATTTACTTATCCATTCATTCATTTTTTATTTTTCCATCATTTCATCCATCCGGCCTTCCATTCACTCATACATTTACTTGAACGAAAATGAGCTAAAAACCCTCACACGCATACACACGCAGAATATTTGGCCGTTTTCACTCATCTGATAACCTTTCATGACCCAATTTTGTCCAATCACATGCAGTCTATATCTTTCATTCCCGATGTAAGTAGGTCAAATGATACTATTTTTATTTTTTTAATTTTAAATCAATATATTTCTAAATTTAATTTCTAAATTTAATTATTGACAAATTGTAATTTTCCATTTTAGCTGTATTCCATTCCTTGGTTTCTGACCATGTATGCTCGTTAGTATGCAAGTTAACATTCACTTTTGTTTGCGTATGTTAATTTTATTTAATTTATGCAAATATGTTAATTTGTAGTGGGTTTAATGTAAATGTGTTAATTTTATTTCACGCATATTACCAGGCCAAATTTTGTGAATACGTTAATACAGTGACAGCAAACATGATGTTTCTTCCATTTAGTAGTTATATAAGTAAAGATTCGTCACATTTAAGATCTCGTTATTTCCACCAGTTAAGCAATTTGTTGGCTCCATCGTTTTAACAACAGTCAGAGAGTAACATGTAACAAGAGTTTGTGTTGTTTCCATGTTAGCGTAGAGACACCTGTAAAGTAATTACCTACAAAACCAGAATAACTTAACGGTAACTCCACGCTTCTTCCTAAATGTTTATTTTTACCAACATGAGCAGACGTGTTTCCATTGCACAAGATTTTCCACCTCTGGGACACCTTGCTGCTTGGTAACTCGTCATTTCCACTCTGCGTTGGCGTTGCCATTCTCAAACAACTGAGAAATCAACTGCTGACCTTCGATTTCAATGAGTGCATACTGCTCTTCTCAGATATGCCTGGTTCGTTTCGTGATTGGTTGGTTGCGTGATTGGCTAGTTGGTTGATTTGCCGGTTCGTTTTGCGCGTGATTGGCTGGTTGATTGGTTGGTTCGTTGTCTGATTGGTTGATTGATTAGCTGGTGATTGCTTGGTTGAGAGTTTGATTGGTCATTGTTTGGGTGATTGTTTCATCCATGTTTTGGCGATTTCAATTTTATAATAAATTATTTTCAGAGATAGACATGGAAAAATGCGTGGAAGATTCCATCCAAATTTTTTGTTCCACCCCAAGAAGTGTCACTTACAGACAATACGACGGCCCGCCGACCAATCAGACATCGACATCTACCCAACAACAACCAATCAAAACTTTCCATTTAAATGATTATTCCGTTAAAACGCATTTGGTAGGTTACTAAAAATGATTTCATGGTTATTCTCATAAATTGATAACATCATTAAGTTGATCATTTTTTTTATTAAAGGTCTTTCTGTTATTACATTTTTTTTTATTGTCGTTTAACTTTAATTGAACTATAACTGTTTCTATAACACAACATATGAATAATAATAATAATAATACCTCATCATTGATGATAATAATGATGATGACGGTGATGAAGACGAAGAGGAGGACGATGATAAATAAATTTAATTTTATACTCATTAAGTCAATAGACGGGCTGACACTGAATGAATTGAAATGCGAGAAATGCGCCAGGATATCTGCAGAGGATGTCATTAACCTCATGGAGATCAAACAAACCAACAACAACATTAATAATAATAATGTGCAAAATAATAATAATAAATGTAATAATATTAATAATAAGACTGGTAGTGATGAGTCGCATATTGTTATCTTGGATGTCAGAGATCGACAGAGGTGAGCTTATGATTCCAGTTTTTTTTTTTTTTGGAAAAATTTTTTAAGTTACAAACAGATTCGTGGGATTTATTTTTTAATATTTTTATTAATTGTTAAATAATTAAGATAATTTTGATTAATTTTCTTGAAAAGAATTTAGAAATGATCTTCAAACAAGAAAAATTCGTATTCGTATATAAAACTACTGAGTCAAAGACATGGCAGTCATAAACTTTTTTTTATAAGAATTGAACT